GAATGGGAGGGGAGAGAGAGAGAGGCATGGGCTACTTTTCCAGTCATTCTTCTCTCCGTTCTAGGCCAATTCCAATCGTCCAAGGCTTAGAAGTTTTTGGGTCAAAATGGTTTCATCTTTTTGTCAACGGGTTTGATCTATTCCAGCCTGAGGGACCATCGCATTGCATCTATCTTCTTATTTATTCCCGTTTCCACGCGATGCACTCTGGATCTACGGCTCGCGATTTGTCATCTCGCTGGCACGAGCACAATCATGCCATTCGAATCACTGATGGTAGCAACGGAGGCCGCAGTAATCACCACCTTCAACCCCTAGTACCTTTGCCCCGTGGGAAAATAGCCGGGTCGCCCTCCTACCTTTTCAGAGGAGGCCTTAACGAAACGACGGCCGCCGGTCATATTTATCAATGCCATCCTTCGTCTTTTTTAGGAGTTTGGGAACACTCCCGCTTTTTTTCCCAACTGCTACATTGGCAGAGGTACTAGAGTCTAGTTGTAAGTGGTTACCGTCGTACCGAACTTACCGTATTCCTAAGTTGCTGTTCCTATTCAAGTTATCACCTTTCCATCGCTTTCTGAACTTAGAAGTTTGAACTGTTGACTCTGTGTTGAGTCTTCCCTCATATCCCGCTGGTGTCCGATCTTTCAACTCTCTGCTTTGAAATTCGCCTAAGAAACATTATTGAAATTCGCCTAAGAAACATTATTCTGGTCATCTGATTGTATCGGGATTCGAACTTGGATCCTATTCATATTTCAACAGCTCATGTTTGTAGCAACTGAGCTAGCCTGTTGATGACAGCATCATTTTCATTCATTTGCATTTCATGGCAAGAATGAGAGAATTGGGTCCAAAAATTGAGGGGGGGTGGGGGCGGGGTGGGGGGGGGAGGGGGAGGAATTCATAGTTGTCATAGGAGAGGTACTAGAAGGGGAGAGGGCTTCATTCTGCAAAATCTGGGGCTTAGATGCCTTCCTGTCTCTGCTGTACCTGACAGGCTCATCTCCGTCTCTGTAGCCCTTGGTTCCTCTCTGTCCCCAACCGGGCCAACCCCCAATGCTTGTCAGGTACAGAGACAGGAAGGAATCTAAGCATCGGGTTCAGATAACAGGCTCCCCTCCTCGTATCACCTGTTTTCTGAAGCCGATGCTTGTCGTGACAGCTGCGTGAGTCAGCGTGACCGCAGTTACAGTCCTAAGCAACGGGGACTGTCACAACGTTTTCATTGTCTTCATTGACAATTTGACACCTGGAGTAGGACAAAATCATAAAAGCAGGTGCAGCTTTGGTTTCAAATTGAGCTCTGTCTCTGTAAATGGGCGAGTCGCGCTTCTGGAAACTTTTTTAATAATGATGTAATGATTGGAGGCGACACCGTGACGTTGTTTTTTTACACCAGGTCCTGCATTCGTAGAAACTTAACATCAATGCCAGAGAATGGAGCAAAAATGTTCTTGTTAATGGTTGTTATGTTTTTAACTTTTAAGTTTTCCATGGCCAATTCACTGCTTGCATCAATTCTCTCTATCTCTCTCTCTCTCTCTACAACCTCATCAAACTCTACAACACACTATCTACCTCATGTCCTCCAACCATGCTAAGGGATCATTGGGTGGGCCTTTCATTACTAAGCTTGCAGGGTTCTGTTGTCTAAGTCCGATCAAATTTGACAGTGATCTCTCTCTCTCTCTCTCTCTCTCTCTCTCTCTCTCTCTCTCTCTCTCTCTCTCTCTCTCTCTCTCTCTCTCTCCAACCTCATCAAATTTGACTGTGTTCAGGGTCAAATTTGACTGTGATCAGGGTCAAATTTGACTGTGATCGGGTCAAATTTGACTGTCTTCAGTGTCTTGGTAAATAGAGCTAAGGTTGCAGAGAGCGCCGGAGAGTCGGCGGAGACTGCTAAAAGCCCAATCAGGAAAAGAGTGCAGCGGCACTGCAGCCTGCATGCTTGTCTGACTTTCTGACGTCAGGAGTGGTCCTTCGGGTTGTCTGGAGTGGACACAAGAACACTGCCGTCTGGCGGGTAAATTGATTGACAATCATCGTAGCTGCGCTAGAAACATAATTGTTTCTCCCTCAGAAACATGACAATAAATTGCAATTATGGAGGTTGGGTATCATTCACACAATTTCACAGCCTGAAGGCCCACAGCCTCGCCAATGTAAGGAGTGGCGTTGTTTCGCGCTCCATGATTACATCCTCCATATCTGCATTTTTTTCTGTTCACACTCTTACACAATTCCTGGCCATGTTGCGTTCAACACTCGAGAGTTGCACACTGGTGACTGATCCAAGTTCAACAGAGAATCACTGAGCTTCTCCATGACTTCTTCACAAACTTTGATTTCTCTCTCTCTCTCTCTCTCTCTCTCTCTCTCTCTCTCTCTCTCTCTCTCTCTCT